GAACAGCACAAGAAGAAGACATCAACCTTCAGATTTTGGCCTGGGCTCAGGGTAATGAGTGGAAACCATTTCCCAGTGCTGCACCAGCCCCTGGTGCCCTTGGACACACAGAGTTTTGCCTCCTCCCCACACTGCTTTGGCTGCCTTTGGCCCCACAGCCCTTCTCCTCCTCCTCCTCCCCAGCAYCTGGACATTCTCGGTGCATTCAGCTTCCTCCTGCCTGCCTGGGGCTGGGGAAAGGAACCAGCCAGAGCCCACCCAGGGCTGGCAAGAGATGGCAGGGAAAGATGATGGAATGTTCCCTGTGGCTAGGAGGGGAGTGAGTGGTTCAGAAACTGCCCCAGGTGACAGAATCCCTCCAGACACCATGGCAGATGGATAAAGGCTCATGTACTGGGATGAATAACCTCATCCCATGGCTCAGGCTGGAGCAATTTCCTCTGGACTGCTGGAGGCTTCGGTGCTCTTCATCTGTGTGATAAAAATTGGATGTGAAGAGCAATTCTTATCCCCAGCATCCCAAGMAGTGTCCTGAGGGATTCATTTCCAGTGGACTCGGGTGCACCAGCCCAGCAATGGTGGGTGCTGGTGGGCATGGGCAGAGACACTGCTGGGGGCATGGAGGGGATGGGGAAGGACAGGAATGGGTTCCAGGTATGGGATTTAAAGTGGGGGACTCCACCCTGCGGCGCACCGGAGCGATGCCCGTTCCTGTGGCGGCAGCAAGGGATGGAGGCACCCGGGGCAAAATCCCTGTGGGCAAAGCCCAGCATCGGTCCCGGCTACGTGGGAGCGAATCTGGCGGYTACTCCAAGCAGGAACGAGCTGGCCAAGAGCTGAGTCATCCCTCCAGCACGGAGGAGATCCCCCCGGGCCCCTCGTTTGCTGTTAAAAGGCAGTAGCAAGAGCAAGAGGCTGCGAAATGGCTCCGCCGAGAGCTCGGCTTCTTCGGCAGCCCCRGCCTCCGAGGAAGCGGGGATGCTCCGCTCGGAGCACGAAACCCGCAGACATCTGGAGCCTGTGGCTTGTTTCTCAACGGCTCCTTGGCCGTGTTTCTSCTCCGTTTCGGAGATAAAGGCGGCGAGGGTGACCCCGCGGAGCGGGAGCCGCGGTGCTGGCCGCCCTCCAGSCAGCCCGGCCGGAGGAAACAGCGGCCCCGCTCTGTGCCGCCGCCAAAGCAAATAGAAATGGGGCGTTAAACAATGCTGGGCGAGAACCGGGAGGGGGGACTGGCCGCCGGCGTCGCCGCTGCCGACGGGCTCCGCGTCTCCAGGAGAGTTTCCACTGGCATCTGTGCCTCCTCTCCCCCTGCCCAGACAAAACCCYCCTGTCGGGCAGCCTGAAGACTTCATCCAGGGCATCCCGCACACCTCAGCGGTGCTTGGATGAGTCCTCAGGGACTTGCTGGGTGCTGAGGGAAGCAGAAGGGATGAAGGGTGAGGAAGAGGAGTTGCCCAGCTTSCAGCAGCCCTCCTGGTTACCGTGGGCTTGCTGGAAGGATTTGGCTTAGTCATCCATCCCTTCCCGCGCTGGTAGGCTGAGCCACTGCTGAAAATATCCTGGAAGACTCCCAAGCAGCACAGAAGGCAAGAAAATGAGGAACACATGAAGGAAGAGAAGACGGGAAGGGATGGGAAGGAAAGWGGAGCGGGGCTGGGAGCGGGCGGTCTTGGCCACCCACCTCCCTGCTGGGGCCAGAGCAGAGATCCACCAGAGSCATCCCAGCAGCGCCTTTGCAGAGCGGGCTGCACCCTTGCTGGGTGCTGGGTGATGCTGATGGTCGGCGCTGGTGACGGTGCCCAGCAGTGGCCTCGGCAGGGTGGGGGACACTGCCCTTCCCACGGCTGCTTTCGGGGGGGGSCAGCTCATAGGAAATTGCTCACCCTGAGAAAATGCATTCTCGGCAGCTCCACATCCTTTCGGTCTTAGGGAAGGGCTGGTGCCGTGACCTTCGTCCGGCTCAGGAGAAGCCCAGCGGCACTCGGCTGCTCGCCGCGGGGCTCACGCCAGGCTTTTCGCACGTTGCTTTTAGCACTTGCGTTGAGTCCCGAGGCGTGAGAGCGGCTCCTCGCYGTGTCCGTGTCTGCTTCCAGCTGGGCAGGATCTGCACAGCTTCTGTCGGCTGCTGCCATCTCGTGTTGCTCCGTACAGGAATCCCCCACCGGGGCCGCCCACTGGCCTTGCTGTGAGGTCGGRACGGGTTGGCATCTCCCCGCTGTCCCCGGGTGTGTGTCCTGCCCTCTCGGGGCCCGGATTCGGGGCGAGGGGGGACGCCCGCTGGCCTCTATCCTGCCGCTGCCTCTTTGAGCCGGGGCCCAAAGCCATGTGAGCTGCAACCGCAGACCYGCTCGGGGAAATTCCTTTCCCGTACGGTCAGCACGGTGGGTGTGCAGAACCCAGGCGAAATACGGGAGTGGGGGGGATGGTGGAAAGGTCCTGAATGTCTCTAGGTGTCCCCTGGACTTTCCCATCTGTCCCAGTACCTCGGTGGGGGCTGCGTTGGGTTCCCACTGGCCCCGGACTGTGCTGCCCCCGCCGTGTGCATCTCTTCTGCCTTCTCCAGCTCCAGGGAAGGAGTTGGGATGCCGGGGGATACCTGGAGGAAGGGCTGCCAGTCCTGGGCAGGGAGGACCGAGACTCCCCCATTGCCACTGAGCCCCCTAACCCCCCTCTCCCCTCTGCCCAGGTCTCTCCCGCAGCGCCAGCCTCTCGGAGAAGGAGCTGAAGGAGGCGAAGGCGCGGAGCCAGAGGATCGCGGCTCAGCTCACCACGGCTCCCGGCCCCAGCTCCAAGGGCGTCCTGCTCTTCCACCGCCGCAGACAGAGAGTCGATGGCCTCACGGGGGCCGGGCACGGCGAGGGGCTGCCGCTGAGCCCTGCGCCCCAGCCTCGGCAAGCGGCCATGGAGGACAGCCAGGGGCGGTGGATGAAGCCAGAGCCTGAGCAGTCCGGCAGTCCAGGAGAAGGGATGCTGGCAAACGCCTCCCCGTGCCGGGAGCTGCCTGCTGGAGCACAGCAGGTCCCGCTCAGCGTTTACCTGAAGGAGAACATGGCATCGGCCACCACCAATGGTGTGCAGGAGCAGGCAGCCAGCAGGATGGAGAGAGGGCTGGAAGGGCCCGGGGATGCAGGAGCCCCTGTGGGGCCGAACACAGCGCCTCTCGTCCTGCCACAGAGCCCCGAGGAGGGGAAGAATGTCAAAGTGCCCAGTGAGGTGCCCGGTGAGGTGCCCAGCGCTCCAGCGGGGACAGCCACAGGAATGGCATCCCCAGCCGGGCAGCAGCAGAACGGGGCACAGGGCCGGCAGTATTATGAAGTCCATCTCACCCTGGCCAAGCCCAAGCCTGTGAAGAACCGGACGGCCAGACCCTTCGGCACCCAGGCGTCCCCCGCCAGTGCCCAGCCAGCCGAGGAACCCCCTGCCCCCGAGCTGCCCCCACCACCCACCTACGCAGAGACCCTCAGCAGCCCCCCACCCCTCACCCGTGTCCGCTCTCCCCCTGCCTACTCAGCCCTGTATCCCACCCAGGAGCAGAAGATGCTGCCGGGTCCCCTCCTGGGCTGTGGCATGAGCGGACCAAACCCCTTGCCCAAAACAGGGATCCTGGAAGAATCGGCTGCCCGGAGAGCCAGCAGAAAGTCCATGTTCACCTTTGTGGAGAAGCCAAAGCTGGGCCCCAACCCCGACCTGCTGGACCTGGTTCAGAGTGCAGACAGCAGGAAGAAGCAGAAGGAGCAGGGAGAACCCAGTGCCGAGGATGAGCCCTTYGCCCTCGGGGCTGAAGCTGCAAACTTTGTCCCCAACAGCGCAGCCAGGGGTGTGCAGCACCTCCCGCCGGCTGAGGATGCTCCAGCGTGGTCCTCCTGCCTCAAATCTCCCACCATCCAGCCCAAGAAGAAGCCACAGCCCAGCCACATCCTCAGTGAAGCGAGAGGGAAGGGGGCTGAACTCTTTGCCCGCCGACAGTCCAGGATGGAGAAGTTCATCATCGAGGCCCCCTCCCAGCCGGAGCTGCTGCGGTGCCCATCACCCACCATGTCCCTGCCTCCCTCCTGGAAGTACGACAACAATGCTTACCTGTCACCCATGGTCTCCAGACGYCCCTCCAAGAGTCCCTCCAGGCCCCCCAAAACCCCTCCTGCATCTCTGTATGGCAGCAACCCAATGGAGAACGAGGTGTCYCAGAAGGAGCTGGAGATCTCCAAGCACCAGCCTTACCAGCTCCAGTCTTCTCTCTTCATCCTCTCCCCATCCAAGGGGCCGGCCGCGTCCATGCCCCAGGAGATGCCTCCACCCAGACCCTCTCTTCCCGACTCCTACCCCTACCCCCAGCAAGCCTCCTGCCCGACCTCTCCGTTGCCTCCTTCCCCGGTTTGGCATCCCCCCGTGGTGCCCAGCGCCGGCCAGAGCAGCACCAGCCCCTTCCCCAGCGCTGCCGGGGCTCTGCCCCTGACTCATGAGAGCCGTGCCAGTCCCGGAGCCCCGGCTGAGGTGCTGCTGGCCTCCCCGTGCCGCCTGCTGCCACCCCGGGCAAAGGCAGGCTTCCAGGCACCCCGGCCCTCCTACTCCACCAGGAATGCCGGCATYGAGCCGCAGGTGTGGAAACCTTCTTTTTACTACAAGTAGTGGTGGCGGAGAGAAAAACACGGGGGTGATAGGCTGAGTCCTCCCTGACTGCTCATGGGAGTGCCAAAAGCCAAACCAACCACAACGAAAAGGGGGGGAAAAGAAAATAGAAAAAAAGAAGTGGTTGTGAGGCTGCAGCGCTGGGACAGTGGGTGACAGGCGCTGCCGAGCCCCCGGTGCAACAGGAGCTGAGGAGTCCCAGGGAGGCAGAAGGAACTGGGCATAGAATGTGCAGGATCCCAAAGAGTCCCGAGGAGTCTGCCTGTCTCACTGGGCTGACGGTGCTTTCACTCTTCTCTCACCTGGAAACTGTATGGAGCATTGCACCTCTGGCTCCRTCCTGTCCTCRCCTCCTGCCTGTCCAGCTCTCAGARCTCTGCCTGCTCCTCTGCATCCCCTCTGTCCTGCAGCTCTTCTCATCCTCCTACCAAAGCAAACGTGGAGAGGACACACTGCCTTTCTGCCTTACTGTGCCTGCTCCTGGCSCTTCTGTTGCTCCTTCAGGATCTGTCCTCGCTTGCTTCCTCACTGTGGAGGAAGAACTGSATCCTTCAGGGAATGGCAGAGTCCAGCAGTGCTGGGTCCAGGGACACTGCAGGGTCCCTSTCCCTGCCTGGGCTCAGTGCTGGAGCTGGGGCTGGCAGTGCTGTGTGGCACAAGGGATATGCTGGGATGAGGAGGATGCTGAGGGCAGGGCTGCTGGGTGATGCTCAGCCCAAGACTCAYGGTCCAGCTGTGCCTCTGCCCGTGCCCTCCCACCACTCTCCCYGTGGTGCCAAGTTGCCTTTTGACTSTGCTTCGTTTCTCCTGCATTTTTCTTCCCCCCCACTCTTTCTGAATACACTCTCTGCGCTGTCACACCTGGCTCTTCTCTTTGCTGCCGTCTGGGGAGCAGTGCCGGTTGATGGATCCTGGGGTGGTGCGAGGGGGTCTCCGAGCATCCCCCAGAGGGAGACTTTAGGAAGCTGCAGGTAATGAGAGGTCCCGGGGCATATTCTGGACAAGGATAATTAATGGCAGGCTCAGCCTGCCCCGATCTCCTTGGCGGGCGAGGGGRTGCAGGGTCAAATGTGTTCTGGGGAGCCCTTGTAGGGGTGCACTGCGCGAGGAGACATCCCCAGTTGCTGAGGGGCTGTGCCAGCATGAATCTTACCCTGGCACCCTCCCGCTCTGTCCCTTCGCCCCCGAGTGGGGGTCACTAACCCGCTCTCTGTCCCTCTCCAGGACAGGCGATCGTCCCTCCCTGCATCTCCCACCTGGACGCCCCGGCTGGCGCGGCGCCCGGGCAGCCTGGACGGCTGGGCCAGCCCGGCGTCGGTGCCCGAGCTGGATGAGGGACCGCCCTTGTCCCCTCCGTGGAGCGAGAGGTCCCTGTCCCCGCTGCGGCAGGATGCGGASCCCCGGGCCAGCCGGCAGATGCAAGCGCGGCTCGCCAGGAACATCATCAACGCTGCCCGCAGGAAGAGCTGCTCTCCCAAAGCCGGGGGGCCGGAGAGCTCCCGGCCCTTCACCCCCATCTCCGCCGGGCCCCCCAGCCTGCCCCAGTCGCCCCGGCTGGGCCCCCGAGCGCCGGCCCTGCAGGCTGCCAGCAGCGCTCTGGGGAGCCTCGGCAGCCCCTCGCCCACCCACAAAAGCCCCCTGCGATCGCCCCGGGCGGGCAGCCCCCAGTTCTGTGCCTCCCCCGGGATGCCCCGAGGCGCCTGGGCAGAGGGTCGCCGGCTCCTGATGCCATCCAGCGCGTCCTCCTGCCCCGTSCCCAGGCTGTCCCCGGTCCCCAAGAGTCCCCTGCCATCCCCCGTGGTGGGCGGGCGATCCCCAGCCAAGCGTTGCACCTCCCGGTCCCCGACGGACTCGGACGTCTCCCTGGACTCCGAAGACTCGGGGACCAAGAGCCCGGGAATCCACAGCTTCAACCTGTGTCCCCGGGGCTGGACCAGCAGCCTGCGGCTGAAGACGGGGGGGCTGCCCTCAGGGGCCCCCTGCACCTCCTAGACGAGCCAGCCCCCACCAAACCACCYTGTCCCCCGACCCGTCAGCCCGGGTGATGCCCCCGCTGACCYCCCTACCGGGAACACACCAACCCCCGGGACTGAGGTCCCCAAAAAAGTGTCCCTTSGGAGCTGCCACGGCCCCTCTGTGTGCCAGAGGGGTCAGGTGCCTCCTGCCCGCCCGCCATCCCATGGCCCCGCTCTATTTTTACCACGCTAACCTTTCGGGGCAGGACTGCGTGGTCAGCAGGCAGGAGCAGGCAGAGTGGGGGAGCCSACACCTCCCTCCCCCACGGCTCCTCCCTCGGCAGTCCCTGCTTGCCAGCGAGCCCCAACCCACACAGCCAGGATGGGATGGGCTTGGTGGTCCCCTGTGAGCCCCCTGTCCCCAGCTCCCAGGRGTTATCCCGGGGTGTCTCTGCTTCCCTGGGGTGGCACATCTGCTGCACCCGTCAGGGGTGGGCAGCATCGATTCCATGCCATGACCAGGCTCCCTCTCCCTGTGTCTCCCAGTCTCCAGAATTGTCTGGTGTCAATTGAAACCATATTTTGGAGAGGAAAAGTTAATTTTTAATTCCAGCCCCCCAGTTCTTCATTGCTTTTTTTTTTTTTAACTTTTGACTCCTTCTCAAAGAAATTCTCCCAAATCCTCCTTTTCCTGTAGACCAAAAAGAGCCAAAGTTATTTATTGCCATGTTAAGGGGCCTGTTTTCAGGTGCCCTCCCGCCGTGCCCAGACCAAGAGGGACAGCCCCACCTTGTACCTGTCACTGTCCCCATCCCCAAGTTCTCCCCATCCCCACTCCAGTGGGATGGAGGCACGCACAGCGACTGATGGGTCCTGTTMCAGCCAGGGCAGGTGGGAAGAGGTGAGGGACTGTGTGGGCTGAAGGAAACAGTAGAAGTTGCAGAGGGTTTGAAGAAGGTGTTGGCACAGAAGGAGATTTTGAGAATGTCGGAGTCCCCATTTCTTGGGGCCRGTGAGACCAGCGCTGGAAAAGAGGTCACATTTGGGCTGCCAGGGCTCTGGCATATTCCTGTTCAGGGAGCCCCTGCCACCCCTTCCCTTTGCCCAGGACACGCTGTTGTGTCGCTGTTCCCTGGAGCAGCTCCRCGCTGCAGGCTGCCCTTCCTGGAACACAGCCCCCCATTCCCAGGACACATCTCCCACCCTCGCTCCAGCAGCCACCACAACCTGCCTTCACCACACCTCTGTATACCCAGCTCAGAAATAAACTGCTATCCCACCCAGGCTGGCTCTGATCTGTTCCCTAGGTGGCCTGGGCACACATGGCACATGGCCACCTCCTGCTGGTGCTACGTGTCCCCAAGGGTCA